TCCTGGCTTCAGAATCTTCCATGGTATAGCTGTAATGTGGAGCAGTCGGACAACATTTAAGGTGAATAGACTGTATCTGGTGTTTGGTGTGGGGGGTGGAGGGATGGGGTAGGTAAAGGGGATTGGCCTGAAGAAGTCTGGTTAAGAAGCGTCACTTCAAGCCACCAAGGGATTTTCATTCAGCAGAGTTAGAACTGTTCAAGAGTCTTACAGGATCAAAGGCAATAACTTACTGTATTTCTGGTTAAGTAAATGGCATCTTTACAGCAGATAATTTTTTTCCAAACTGGTGAAAATAGAAATGAATTTCTAAACCTGATGTGACAACTGAAACCATCTTGTCTTTTTGTGGCATTAGGGAAACATTGTTGCCACATGCTTGGAAGGATAAACTTTAGTAACTTTGAACATTAAAAGTATGTTGAAATTGACACTTTAAACAGAGCACAAACATAAAAAGTTTCATGTTTACAGGAATTGGTTTGTTGTCATAGTAACCAATTCTTGGCAGTATTAACACTTTTAACTACAATAGCCAGCTCACTGTACTTACTACCCCATAGTACCATTGTTGAAAACCTGTCTGACCTGGAACAAATACTTTACTGAGGCATATTTTATTGCCTTGTCTGATATGGAACAATTACTTTACTGAGGCATATTTTATTGCCTTGTCTGATTTGAAACAATTACTTTACTGAGGCATATTTTATTGCCTTGTCTGATTTGGAACAATTACTTTACTGAGGCATATTTTAATGCCTTGTCTGACTTGGAACAATTACTTTACTGAGGCATATCTTTTGGCCTTGTCTGATTTGGAACAATGACTTTACTGAGGCATATTTTATTGCCTTGTCTGACTTGGAACAATTACTTTACTGAGGCATATCTTGTTGCCTTGTCTGATTTGGAACAATTACTTTACTGAGGCACATTTTAATGCCTTGTCTGACCTGGAACAATTACTTTACTGAGGCATATTTTGTTGCCTTATCTGACTGGGAACAATTACTTTACTGAGGCATATCTTTTGGCCTTGTCTGATTTGGAACAATGACTTTACTGAGGCATATTTTAATGCCTTGTCTGACTTGGAACAATTACTTTACTGAGGCATATCTTGTTGCCTTGTCTGATTTGGAACAATTACTTTACTGAGGCATATTTTGTTGCCTTGTCTGACTTGGAACAATTACTTTACTGAGGCATATTTTGTTGCCTTGTCTTACTTGGAACAATTTTTGTACATGAGCATTTTTAATTAGACTACATGCCTTGCGACCCTTGAAGATCCGGGGTAGTTTCTATCGCTGTAATGGCAACTATCCAGTAGTATTTTATCCCAGTCTTGAATTATCAAAAAGATTTTCATTCAGCAGAGTTAGAACTGTTCAAGAGTCTTACAGGATCAAAGGCAATGACTTACTGTATTTCTGGTTAAGTAAATGGCATCTTTACAGCAGATAATTTTTTTCCAAACTGGTGAAAATAGAAATGAATTTCTAAACTTGATGTGACAACTGAAACCATCTTGTCTTTTTGTGGCATTAGGGAAACATTGTTTCAAAATTACTTTACTGAGGCATATTTTGTTGCCTTATCTGACTGGGAACAATTACTTTACTGAGGCATATCTTGTTGCCTTGTCTGACTTGGAACAATGACTTTACTGAGGCATATTTTGTTGCCTTGTCTGACTGGGAACAATTACTTTACTGAGGCATATCTTGTTGCCTTGTCTGACTTGGAACAATTACTTTACTGAGGCATATTTTGTTGCCTTGTCTGACTGGGAACAATTACTTTACTGAGGCATATCTTGTTGCCTTGTCTGACTTGGAACAATTACTTTACTGAGGCATATTTTGTTGCCTTGTCTGACTTGGAACAATTACTTTACTGAGGCATATTTTGTTGCCTTGTCTTACTTGGAACAATTTTTGTACATGAGCATTTTTAATTAGACTACATGCCTTGCGACCCTTGAAGATCCGGGGTAGTTTCTATCGCTGTAATGGCAACTATCCAGTAGTATTTTATCCCAGTCTTGAATTATCAAAAAGATGTGTCAGCCTTTAGATGCTGATTTGAATATTTCAAGCAATTATATTCATTCCCCTCTTTTCTTATGTGTTTTTGACCTTTCAATAAAATAAATTATCATTGGATACAATGTTAAATAGTTATTTAATTTTGGCTTAAAAGAAGTGATGGATAAAATTCATGTTAAATTCATTGTATTTATAAATAGGAAAATATGCTTACATTTTTCAAATTCTACTACTTGTGGTAAAATGTATTGCTTGATTGTTGATTATTGTAGAAATGGCTATACCAGTTCTAGACCTGTGAGTGCCTGTTTCTAAGGACATAAGCTAACAAAGCTGTCCTAAGCAATATGGCAAATGGTTTGGAGACTAGTTCCAGAGACTGCGACTTTAAGCAGCGAAATTGGATTGAGTGCGAGACATGGTGCCATGGTTGACTGCGTGTCATTGTACCCGAATGGTGTGGGACGAGACTCATAATACCAGGCTCTAATTGGTCTGGTCCAGACTTGATTACGTACTCTGGGATACAGCTTGAATGTTGATGGAGGAAACATAACACAACAAACCAACAGTCTGCCACTTATGTCACTGGTCCAAAGTCTAGCCCAGTTAAATTCTTTGCGCTTCATTAAGCTTGGCTCATAGTTCATACACCCAGTTCAAAATCTATTGAAGATGGCGCCAAATGTCCAGTTGGGCTTGGTAGAGATTGCTTTCTTGTTTGGTCGTCTGTGTGGAAAGCCAGCCTGAGATTGTTTTTTAGAGACCAGTCCAGTATACTAGTGTGGACCTTAAATCACTAGTCCTCAGAGTTTGTAGCTCGTCCTGTTTGAACTGGACAAACCTGTTTAGAATGGTTGTATTTTCTGTCATTTGTATTCAGTTGCCGTTGTAGCAAAACTAAACCAATCAGAACGTGTTCAGAATTGTAGGCCAAGTCCATGCGGACTACCGTCATTGGATTTTTACTTGTTGCAATTTAGTAATCTCTGGCTAGCAGTTATAAGTTTGAAGGTTTAAGACATGACATGTCATCATTTGTAGTGGAATAATTGACAACTACACTTTTACTTTGTTGGTGTTATTGTTATAAATTGATAAATAATAATAATGATAATATTGTGTATATTTATAATGCACTCAAAGCACTACATTTTTACCCCAGTTGATGGATTAGTGTGTACTGAAATTTCATTCTCAACTCCCTGGGGAATATACAACCGAAACTGCCTAATGAGGCATGAGAAGGTTCACAGTCACACTACCATCTCAAACTACCGGGTACCCATTCACTGCTGGGTGGCATATTTTGAACATCTCTTGACTAAATAGACACCACATGTAACATGTCCTTCGATGTGGGGCAGGAACGAGGCCCAAGAAACTCTCAGGAGTCAAGCTGCCGAACGCTGTCACCCATCCACCTACTCTCTGTGGCCAACATTTTTTAACTTCACCTTAATATTTTCACTACTTTACCCTAACAACAATATTACTCAAGGGACCATGCTACAGCCATTTTCATTCAAAGGGGAGGTTGGGTGCTAACTACATCCAAGCGTTAGACTAGTCCCATCGTAACAGGTGATTGGAATCAATAAATAGTTGCTACAAGGGAAAAGTGTTTGGGTTCAACACACAATCGGGTTATGAAAATAAGGCCATATTTTTTGGTTTACATAATATAGCCCCAAAAAGTTTGAAAAAATGCATTTCAGACAAAATGCATTCTTTTGTGAAATGATATATTGTATAAGGTGTTTTTTTTAAGGTTTCAAATCAGCTCTGAATTTTCATTGTATTACCGTATTTTCTTGAGTACAGTGCGCACTTTTTTGTACTGAAGTTTCTCAGCACCCGTTCGTTTGCCGGACTTCGCTCAAAGGGTACGGTGTAAAAATTTTCTGCGCATAATATTCAATTTTCTTTTTTTCCAAAATATTGAACCCGCTAGAGGGGGGTGCGCATTATACATGGGTGCGCACTATACTCAAGAAAATACGGTATTGTTTTATTTTGCCTCATTATTTACCCGATGTACTGTAAAACAGAAGATTAATTTAGGCTGGTCTAAGAATAAAGTGTACTGAAATGTAATTGTATTTGTCCTCTGACACGTTGACCTAGTTTGTGATGTGATTGGAATGTAATCGAATATATTACATATCTCAATTTCAGTGTTGAATTTCTCTGCAAGTGTCAAGCTTTCTGAACAGGTCAAGTGAGTCAGAATTCCCAGAAGCTAACCTTTCCCATACCATGAGACATCTGGCCCACTTAGAGTTAAAAATCAATATCGTTGAATTGCGAGAATCATCTTTACATTCGACATGAGTCTTTTGAAATAATATTCTGATATTTAGAACTACTCAAACGATCCTCCACGCTTTAGGTATGTAAGTGTCTATCATGAGAATAGTGTAGAAACGGACTCTTTTACGTTATTCTTTTTTAGTGTTGTGATGGTGTGAAACGAACAAGAGACACACAAGCAACAGACTGCAATTGATTACTCTCGTCGATATCTATGTTAATGGGAGTTTCGTAAATCATAGAACAGGATTGCTACCCATTTGGATTGTATAACTTGCGAATGAACCATTATGGAACTGAATGAAATGAGTAACAGCCTCAATGCACTAATGGTGGTATTCAATCGTTCTTCTCATTCATCTATCTTCATTATAATCATACATTTTTTTCACCGAAGATCAATCAATTGAATTTTCTATTGGCCAACTGCCGGTAGACTGGGGGTAGGGTGAACAGTGTTATAGAGGACAATGCTGAGATGTACATTGGATGGGAAGACCACAGTGGAACACCCTAACATACATATTGATCTGCTGGAATCGACATCACAGCAGGGAGCACTACCAGATGAAATACGCATGATATTCACATGCCCAGGGTCTATATTTCGTATTTCTCAACCATGAAGCTTACCTTTGTCTTTCGGGCTGTTTTTCTCATCGTCATTATCGGTGTTGTCCATTTCGCCAGGAGGAGATTCGCTTTCTGATTGCATGTTAATACTGACCCAGGATCCTATCCCAGTCAATCAAGTACATTTCGGGATATGTACGCCTGTGTTCTGTATGCAATACACATCTGCATTCTGGCTCATGTGTGACATACAACTAGCTCAGCTGGTGAGGATGTCAGATATACTGGCTTTATTATCCAGTGAAATGTACAAGTCGTTAATAACAATCTTTATATTGGTTTGGTCTTTCTCTGTGAGGACTGACATCTCAGGGACGATCTCGAGGATCACATCTCCCTTGAAATCTACATTTTGACTGATTGATTGATTTATGACGGGCCTTGGGGTTTTTCCAACTATTCATGACTGTAGGGCTAAGCTGTTGCTATAGAAACACATGCATCTAATATTATAATATTATAATTGGAATTAATTAAGCATTACATTGTTTTTCTTCCAATTTTGGGGGTGTACATATTTGTATATGCTTGGAGTGATTATGCAGAACTTTACACTTTATAATCAATACGGTTATCTTGGTTATTATGTGGACTAATTATGTCATTAAGTTATTAACGCGAGGCCTCCTCATCACTTGGCCGCATCACTGCAGCAGCAGTTAGACAATGATTAGTAAGCAGTTGGAGACTAAAGTTGATCGTCACGATATGGCTGAAATATTGCCGATGTGACGTAAAACTTTAACTCACTCACTCACTAAAGTTGAGTTTGTTTGTTTGGTGAGTGAGTAGCACCTTTCCGATTGATCAATGTACACAAGACTTATTTATTTGTGTATAATATGCACTCGTGTGTTATATGCACCCTTAATTATGGGCAATTAAATTCTGGAAAAATGTATCTGTCGTGTATAATACACACAGACCTTTCTTTTGTATCATTTCAGGCTGTCAGCATAAACCACAAAATTTACGATCTTTAAACTGTTTTTTTTTTCACCAAAATTTTATTCCAATAAGGCCCCCCTATTTTTATTTTTGAGAGCGCCCTGGACGCTTATTACGTCGAATATGGTACCTGCCTTTTCCTTTCTTCTTTGACTTTCGTAAACAATCAGCTGTATGTAGTTTGTGATATGTAGGTCGCTATACATTTTGCATGCTGCAGCTCGAAGGCCATTAAAAATATAATCATCAGAATGCTGTCATATGAATGACAGAGGATCTCCTTTTTCCCCCAGTAGGCAGCAGACATGGTGACATAGATAAGGCAAGGAAAGATAACCCTTGTTATCCATTCTGTACAATCCTCACATTCATCGAAACAATCAAACCAGATTTTTTACCAGACAAATCCAAAAATATTTTAGTGGCTCCCTCAAAAATGGCAAGTAGTATTGTGATATTGTTCCATATTGGATTTTTTTACTATTATTATTTTTGCGAATTCTGACGAATTTAGACATTAAATTCAAATTTTTGTGTTAATTGCTGCAAATTTGGGGAAGTTCACAAAAAATCCCTGATTATGTTTTACATGATCAGCACAAGGATGAGAAACATCAGTTTAACCATGTTAACATTTCATTGCCTACTGTAAGATATTCTCACAGCAGGCCAAACCAGCACTGTTCATTCCATGTATATCGATAAGACAAAATATGTATACAATTTATGTCTGTATCGATAATGAAGACCTTAGTGCTTGAATACTGGATAGTAACACTCTACTAGGTGATATTTTGGTCACCAGTGCAATTAAGTTCTCCATTTAGCACACATGATATATTTAAAAACTGACCTTAATATTTTTTTGTGTTTATAGAACAGAAAAACAGGTGTGCATACTGTTTAAATCTGTATAAATGTGCACACCATTTTTTATTTTATAATTCCATATATGCAAAAACATATCATAATTGATTCTTATAAATATGTACATCAACAAGAATGACTTCATCCACTGCTTATTTAATCCTTAACACACAACAAAATGGAGAAAATAATACGCCATCAGTGACATCGTACAGGACAGTTATACAACACAAGCCGATCCCATTCTAATGTCAGCCAATCAAGAAACAGAAGCCCTTTATTGGGGGTGGCCCAATATTTTTCGGTTTATGAAAATTTAAAGGGAAAACAAATTGCAAGGGTTAGTCAATCATATGCCACGGCATCACTTGCAAGTTATATTTTTCATGTGAATCCCTTCATGACTACAATTATTTCAAATACAGACCCCAATTCTACACTTTGGAATTTTGTGTTCAAAACTTGGATTTTTACCCAAAACTAACATACTTTGTTAACAGGTATTACTCCACTCGTATTCACCTAAATCCTGAATTTGGTTCCTTGTATGAGGCTCCTGTTGGCTCCTACCATTTGCTTGGCATCTTCCCGAGGCAAGAGAGTTAACTGGCTATAAAAGTCCAGTCTCCAGCCTTGACGAACTAGGCTGGTATTATGGAGTTACATTTTGGCTGGACTAACGAGTCTATGCATAGTCCAATCAAACTTGTACATCGAAATCAAAATCCAGGTCGTAAACTTTCATGCAGATTTCGTTCGATTGCAAGATTTGGAAAGCATGTGCACCGCCAATTCGTTGCAACAGATATTTTCCAAATCTTTTCATGTTTTTAATGTAAGACCCGTTTTATCACAATATAGATCTTGATTATCGATCAGATCATCCTAACTCGGTGCCGCCATTTTGTTTGAAACAAATGCAAGTGATACTAGAGGTGGAATCTGATTGGTCCATAGGAGAGGCTTAGAAGGGACATAACTCGTAATAACCACTGGTGGGGCTACAATCTAGCCCAGTAATTCCAGCCTAGTTCGGAAACTGGACTTTTAAAGTCAGTTAACTCTCTTGCCCCGGGAAGATGTTTGCCTGGCTACCAGTAAACTAACATACCGGTGAGGATCCGGGGGACTCCCTTGGATAGAGGACCACCTCCGTCGTCTAGTGGTAGACCGTCCACCCGGAGAGCGGAAGGTCCGAGGTTCGATCCCCGATTGCGTCCTACCAAAAGCAGTTAAAGATGGTACTTGTTGTTACCCTGTCTGGCGCTCGGCATTAAGGGGCTAAAACAAGGACTGGTCGGCTCGGAGTCAGTATACTGTTTCTGAGTGGGGTATTCATGTTAAACTGCGGCATGGTACCTCAGTGAGCTAGCACTATAAATCGGCATCAGTCTGGACTAGTACAAGCAGCCACACAAACACACACACTACATGTACGTCGCTTTTTAAGTGCAATAATCTTGAACGCTTGAACCCCATTTCACCTCACCTCACCCTTGGATAGTGTCCAGCGTTGATGAGACACTGATGTAATAAATAAGCTGCAACCTTCATGTTTTGATGGAGTTTAAAAGATTGTGTGTTTCAGGAGCAATCTGTGCCAAAGTATTTTGAGTCTGCTAGCCCACACATTGTTCTTGACATCATTTTCAGTAGATCTTAGTGTTTATGTATGAGCGACTATTAGCTGAGTTAACTAGAACAAGATGAATTTTACTAGGCTCTGGCTTTGGACTGTAAAAATGGGGCTAGATTTACTGAATAAAACATGCACTAGTGCAAACTCATATTGAAAATGCAACCTATTATTTATCTCTCTACATGGATCCAGTGCATGTCAAAATCTTACAAGGGGCGGTCAGGTAGCCTAGTGGTTAAAGTGTTCACTCGTCATGCCGAAGATCCGGGTTTGAATCCCGACATGGGTACAATGTGTGAAGCCCATTTTTGGTGTCCCGTGCCGTCATATTGCTGGAATATTGCTAAAACTGGCGTAAAACCACTCACTCACTTACTCACTCAAAATCTTACATATTTGTGACTGACTTACTAAGAAAGTTTTTTACACAACATTAATCTTTGAACTCATTATGCAATATTTATCCATACTGCATCATTATTAAATGAAATTAAATTAAGAATTCGTATAACGCATTTTCCAATGAACAAATGCTCAAATACGCTTAGACCATCATTGATCATCCATTGAATAGACAGGTTTTCAGTATCTTTTTAAAGTTTGTCAGATTTTTTGTTTGTCGAATTTCTTGTGGCAGATTGTTCCATAACAATGGGCCAGCATGTTGAAATGTCCCATCGCCATGTTTTTGTACGTAACTTTGGCACCACTAGCAGATGGTATCTTGTGATCAGAGTGTTATGTGTAATTTGACATTGTCCTTGAGGCTAGGCGTCATCACATGAATCTTGTCACGTAATCTTATGATCATGACAAGAAAGCAATAGAATGCATGAGATGTTTAAATGTTTCCATTCATTGGCCATAGAGAGTGAACTGAAAATTTCAGAATATTATGCTACTGATTATATACATCTTCAGTTAATAGGTTCCGTTATGAGTGCAACCAGGTTTAGTCTGGTGCAACAAGGCTGTGATGTCAACATGCACCAGGTGCAAGCTATATGTAGTTCCTTATATCGAGCCTTATAATTGTAGCCCCAACTGTGAGAATCTTGATGTAAGAAGAACCGTTGTCCGTCACAGAATAAAGTAGATCAATTCTGTTAATGGAATAGGTCTGTCCCTTTTTTCACATTAAGTTGCAATGAAATTATTGTAATCATGAACTATACAGTCGAGTCTCTTTTAGTTGTAATTCCAGCCAGCAGAGAATCCTGATGAAGTCTTATTATACAAATCGGGTTTTCGGAGAGCATTGTATGATTGTATAAATACATAGCCATGAGGTGATTAGAAACAAGAAGGATAAATGCTCAGTAATTTCATATGCTTATTATCATCAACAATTTATTCATTGATGAATATATTGTAGCCAACAATCAGTGTTTTAATGTGTGTGTGTTGATAAGCTCATCACTAATTGCTGTCATTATTCAAGTACATACTGGAAAAAATAGATCACTTTTCCTGCATTAACTATAACAATTTCTTCATATTGGATTTGGCCATGTTCTAACAGAACTGAATGTTTATTTGACATAATTGTCAGCCATGACAGGGTCCAAAGTCATAAGTCCGCTAGTTGAAGGCTTCAGAAAGGACTAGTGACATTTCCTTGTCGACTTCCACTTTTACCTTTAGATGGATGGCAACTGACGAGGGAATATAAAAACTAATTCCTGACCCTGCATGATGACATTGCGCTCCTGGTGTTTCTGTGAAATTAGTTTCCTTATGTAGAGTGTGCATGCAGACTTAATCAGTTTTATATTGCGTGAAGTATTGATTGAGAAGTGTTGGTAGGTTTTCATTAACAACGTAAAGTGCATTGTTCGTGCATGTGTTACACAATCTGGTTCGAAGGTGCTGGGGGAAGACTTCTATTTTGTTGACGGTATCCCCAGCAACATGTTGACAATATGCAGCTTAAACACCATCATGCTGACAACAATAAGCCAGCTGGTA